GCATGGGAGGTTGGGTGCATGGGAGGTTGGGTGCATGGGAGGTTGGGTGCATGGGAGGTTGGGTGCATGGGAGGTTGGGTGCATGGGAGGTTGGGTGCATGGGAGGTTGGGTGCATGGGAGGTTGGGTGCATGGGAGGTTGGGTGCATGGGAGGTTGGGTGCATGGGAGGTTGGGCGCATGGGAGGTTGGGCGCATGGGAGGTTGGGTGCATGGGAGGTTGGGTGCATGGGAGGTTGGGGCATGGGAGGTGGGTGCATGGAGGTTGGGGCATGGGAGGTTGGGTGCATGGGAGGTTGGGTGCATGGGAGGTTGGGTGCATGGGATGGGAGGTTGGGTGCATGGGAGGTTGGGCTGCATGGGAGGTTGGGTGCATGGGAGGTTGGGGTGCATGGGAGGTTGGGCGCATGGGAGGTTGGGCGCATGGGAGGTTGGGTGCATGGGAGTTGGGTGCATGGGAGGTTGGGTGCATGGGAGTGGGCATGGGAGGTTGGGTGCATGGGAGGTTGGGTGCCTGGGAGGTTGGGTGCCATGGGAGGTTGGGTGCATGGGAGGTTGGGTGCATGGGAGGTTGGGTGCATGGGAGGTTGGGTGCATGGGAGGTTGGGTGCATGGGAGGTTGGGTGCATGGGAGGTTGGGTGCATGGGAGGTTGGGTGCATGGAGGTTGGGTGCATGGGAGGTTGGGTGCATGGGAGGTTGGGTGCATGGGAGGTTTGGGGGTGGTGCATGGGAGGTTGGGTGCATGGGAGGTTGGGTGCATGGGAGGTTGGGTGCATGGGAGGTTGGGTGCATGGGAGGTTGGGTGCATGGGAGGTTGGGTGCATGGGAGGTTGGGTGCATGGGAGGTTGGGTGCATGGGAGGTTGGGTGCATGGGAGGTTGGGTGCATGGGAGGTGGGTGCATGGAGGTTGGGCGCATGGGAGGTTGGGTGCATGGGAGGTTGGGTGCATGGGAGGTGGGTTGGGTGCATGGGAGGTTTGGTTCATGGGAGGTTGGTGCATAGGAGGTTGGGGTGCACATGGGAGGTTGGGTGCATGGGAGGTTGGGTGCATGGGAGGTTGGTGCATGGGAGGTTGGGTGCATGGGAGGTTGGGTGCATGGAGGTTGGTGCATGGGAGGTTGGGCGCATGGGAGGTTGGGTGCATGGGAGGTTGGGTGCATGGGAGGTTGGGTGCATGGGAGGTTGGGTGCATGGGAGGTTGGTCGCATGGGAGGTTGGGTGCATGGGAGGTTGGGTGCATGGGAGGTTGGGTGCATGGGAGGTTGGGTGCATGGGAGGTTGGGGCCATGGGAGGTTGGGTGCATGGGAGGTTGGGCGCATGGGAGGTTGGGCGCATGGGAGGTTGGGTGCATGGGAGGTTGGGCGTGCATGGGAGGTTGGGTGCATGGGAGGTTGGGCGCATGGGAGGTTGGGTGCATGGGAGGTTGGGCGGCATGGGAGGTTGGGTGCATGGAGGTTGGGTGCATGGGAGGTTGGGCTGCATGGGAGGTTGGGTGCATGGGAGGTTGGGTGCATGGGAGGTTGGGTGCATGGGAGGTTGGGTGCATGGGAGGTTGGGTGCATGGGAGGTTGGGTGCATGGGAGGTTGGGTGCATGGGAGGGTTGGTGCATGGGAGGTTGGGTGCATGGGAGGTTGGGTTGGTGCATGGGAGGTTGGGTGCATGGGAGGTTGGGTGCATGGGAGGTTGGGTGCATGGGAGGTTGGGTGCATGGGAGGTTGGGTGCATGGAGGTTGGGTGCATGGAGGTTGGGTGCATGGGAGGTTGGGTGCATGGAGGTTGGGTGCATGGGAGGTTGGGTGCATGGGAGGTTGGGTGCATGGGAGGTTGGGTGCATGGGAGGTTGGGTGCATGGGAGGTTGGGTGCATGGGAGGTTGGGTGCATGGGAGGTTGGGTGCATGGGAGGTTGGGTGCATGGGAGGTTGGGTGCATGGGAGGTTGGGTGCATGGGAGGTTGGGTGCATGGGAGGTTGGGTGCATGGGAGGTTGGGTGCATGGGAGGTTGGGTGCATGGGAGGTTGGGTGCATGGGAGGTTGGGCGCATGGGAGGTTGGGCGCATGGGAGGTTGGGTGCATGGGAGGTTGGGTGCATGGGAGGTTGGGTGCATGGGAGGTTGGGCGCATGGGAGGTTGGGTGCATGGGAGGTTGGGTGCATGGGAGGTTGGGTGCATGGAGGTTGGGTGCATGGGAGGTTGGGTGCATGGGAGGTTGGGTGCATGGGAGGTTGGGTGCATGGGAGGTTGGGTGCATGGGAGGTTGGGTGCATGGGAGGTTGGGTGCATGGGAGGTTGGGTGCATGGGAGGTTGGGTGCATGGGAGGTTGGGTGCATGGGAGGTTGGGTGAATGGGAGGTTGGGTGCATGGGAGGTTGGGTGCATGGGAGGTTGGGTGCATGGGAGGTTGGGTGCATGGGAGGTTGGGTGCATGGGAGGTTGGGTGCATGGGAGGTTGGGTGCATGGGAGGTTGGGTGCATGGGAGGTTGGGCGCATGGGAGGTTGGGTGCATGGAGGTTGGGCGCATGGGAGGTTGGGTGCATGGGAGGTTGGGTGCATGGGAGGTTGGGTGCATGGGAGGTTGGGGCGCATGGAGGTTGGGTGCATGGGAGGTTGGGTGCATGGGAGGTTGGGTGCATGGGAGGTTGGGTGCATGGGAGGTTGGGCGCATGGGAGGTTGGGTGCATGGGAGGTTGGGTGCATGGGAGGTTGGGTGCATGGGAGGTTGGGTGCATGGGAGGTTGGGTGCATGGGAGGTTGGGTGCATGAGAGGTTGGGCGCATGGGAGGTTGGGCGCATGGGAGGTTGGGTGCATGGGAGGTTGGGCGCATGGGAGGTTGGTGCATGGGAGGTTGGTGCATGGGAGGTTGGGTGCATGGGAGGTTGGGATGAGCATGGGAAAGTTGGGTGCATGGGAGGTTGGGTGCATGGGAGGTTGGGCTGCATGGGAGGTTGGGTGCATGGGAGGTTGGGTGGCATGGGGTGGGTGCATGGGAGGTTGGGCGCATGGAGTTGGGTGCATGGGAGGTTGGGTGCATGGGAGGTTGGGTGCATGGGAGGTTGGGTGCAATGGGAGGTTGGGTGCATGGGAGGTTGGCGTGCATGGGAGGTTGGGTGCATGGGAGGTTGGGTGCAATGGGAGGTTGGGTGCATGGGAGGTTGGGTGCAGGGAGTTGGGGTGCATGGGAGGTTGGGTGCATGGGAGGTCTGGGTGCATGGGAGGTTGGGTGCATGGGAGGTTGGGTGCATGGGAGGTTGGGTGCATGGGAGGTTGGGTGCATGGGAGGTTGGGTGCATGGGAGGTTGGGTGCATGGGAGGTTGGGTGCATGGGAGGTTGGGTGCATGGGAGGTTGGGTGCATGGGAGGTGGGTGCATGGGAGGTTGGGTGCATGGGAGGTTGGGTGCATGGGGAGGTTGGGTGCATGGGAGGTTGGGTGCATGGGAGGTTGGGTGCATGGGAGGTTGGGTGCATGGGAGGTTGGGGCGCATGGGAGGTTGGGCTGCATGGGAGGTTGGGCGCATGGGAGGTTGGGTGCATGGGAGGTTGGGTGCATGGGAGGTTGGGTGCATGGGAGGTTGGGCGCATGGGAGGTTGGGCGCATGGGAGGTTGGGCGCATGGGAGGTTGGGTGCATGGGAGGTTGGGTGCATGGGAGGTTGGGTGCATGGGAGGTTGGGTTCATGGGAGTTTGGGCGCATGGGAGGTTGGGTGCATGGGAGGCTGGGTGCATGGGAGGTTGGGTGCATAGGAGGTTGGGTGCATGGGAGGTTGGGCGCATGGGAGGTTGGGCGCATGGGAGGTTGGGCGCATGGGAGGTTGGTGCATGGGAGGTTGGGTGCATGGGAGGTTGGGTGCATGGGAGGTTGGGTGCATGGGAGGTTGGGCGCATGGGAGGTTGGGTGCATGGGAGGTTGGGTGCATGGGAGGTTGGGCACATGGGAGGTTGGGCGCATGGGAGGTTGGGTGCATGGGAGGTTGGGTGCATGGGAGGTTGGGTGCATGGGAGGTTGGGCGCATGGGAGGTTGGGTGCATGGGAGGTTGGGTGCATGGGAGGTTGGGTGCATGGGAGGTTGGGTGCATGGGAGGTTGGGCGCATGGGAGGTTGGGTGCATGGGAGGTTGGGTGCATGGGAGGTTGGGTGCATGGGAGGTTGGGTGCATGGGAGGTTGGGTGCATGGGAGGTTGGGTGCATGGGAGGTTGGGCGCATGGGAGGTTGGGCGCATGGGAGGTTGGGTGCATGGGAGGTTGGGCGCATGGGAGGTTGGTGCATGGGAGGTTGGGTGCATGGGAGGTTGGGTGCATGGGAGGTTGGGTGCATGGGAGGTTGGGTGCATGGGAGGTTGGGCGCATGGGAGGTTGGGCGCATGGGAGGTTGGGTGCATGGGAGGTTGGGCGCATGGGAGGTTGGGCGCATGGGAGGTTGGGTGCATGGGAGGTTGGGGCATGGGAGGTTGGGTGCATGGGAGGTTGGGTGCATGGGAGGTTGGGTGCATGGGAGGTTGGGTGCATGGGAGGTTGGGTGCATGGGAGGTTGGGTGCATGGGAGGTTGGGTGCATGGGAGGTTGGGTGCATGGGAGGTTGGGTGCATGGGAGGTTGGGTGCATGGGAGGTTGGGTGCATGGGAGGTTGGGTGCATGGGAGGTTGGGTGCATGGGAGGTTGGGTGCATGGGAGGTTGGGTGCATGGAAGGTTGGGTGCATGGGAGGTTGGGTGCATGGGAGGTTGGGTGCATGGGAGGTTGGGTGCATGGGAGGTTGGGCGCATGGGAGGTTGGGCGCATGGGAGGTTGGGTGCATGGGAGGTTGGGCGCATGGGAGGTTGGGTGCATGGGAGGTTGGGCGCATGGGAGGTTGGGTGCATGGGAGGTTGGGTGCATGGGAGGTTGGGTGCATGGGAGGTTGGGCGCATGGGAGGTTGGGCGCATGGGAGGTTGGGCGCATGGGAGGTTGGGTGCATGGGAGGTTGGGTGCATGGGAGGTTGGGTGCATGGGAGGTTGGGTTCATGGGAGTTTGGGCGCATGGGAGGTTGGGTGCATGGGAGGCTGGGTGCATGGGAGGTTGGGTGCATAGGAGGTTGGGTGCATGGGAGGTTGGGCGCATGGGAGGTTGGGCGCATGGGAGGTTGGGCGCATGGGAGGTTGGTGCATGGGAGGTTGGGTGCATGGGAGGTTGGGTGCATGGGAGGTTGGGTGCATGGGAGGTTGGGCGCATGGGAGGTTGGGTGCATGGGAGGTTGGGTGCATGGGAGGTTGGGCGCATGGGAGGTTGGGCGCATGGGAGGTTGGGTGCATGGGAGGTTGGGTGCATGGGAGGTTGGGCGCATGGGAGGTTGGGCGCATGGGAGGTTGGGTGCATGGGAGGTTGGGTGCATGGGAGGTTGGGTGCATGGGAGGTTGGGCGCATGGGAGGTTGGGTGCATGGGAGGTTGGGTGCATGGGAGGTTGGGTGCATGGGAGGTTGGGTGCATGGGAGGTTGGGTGCATGGGAGGTTGGGCGCATGGGAGGTTGGGTGCATGGAGGTTGGGTGCATGGGAGGTTGGGTGCATGGGAGGTTGGGCGCATGGGAGGTTGGGCGCATGGGAGGTTGGGTGCATGGGAGGTTGGGTGCATGGGAGGTTGGGTGCATGGGAGGTTGGGCGCATGGGAGGTTGGGTGCATGGGAGGTTGGGTGCATGGGAGGTTGGGTGCATGGGAGGTTGGGTGCATGGGAGGTTGGGTGCATGGGAGGTTGGGTGCATGGGAGGTTGGGTGCATGGGAGGTTGGGTGCATGGGAGGTTGGGTGCATGGGAGGTTGGGTGCATGGGAGGTTGGGTGCATGGGAGGTTGGGTGCATGGGAGGTTGGGTGCATGGGAGGTTGGGCGCATGGGAGGTTGGGCGCATGGGAGGTTGGGTGCATGGGAGGTTGGGCGCATGGGAGGTTGGGCGCATGGGAGGTTGGGTGCATGGGAGGTTGGGTGCATGGGAGGTTGGGTGCATAGGAGGTTGGGTGCATGGGAGGTTGGGTGCATGGGAGGTTGGGTGCATGGGAGGTTGGGTGCATGGGAGGTTGGGTGCATGGGAGGTTGGGTGCATGGGAGGTTGGGTGCATGGGAGGTTGGGCGCATGGGAGGTTGGGTGCATGGGAGGTTGGGTGCATGGGAGGTTGGGTGCATGGGAGGTTGGGTGCATGGGAGGTTGGGCGCAGGAAAGGGATGACGATAGGGAGTCATCGCTACCATCATCACAACCATCATCACAACCATCATCACAACCATCATCACAACCATCATCACAACCATCATCACAACCATCATCACTACCATCATCACTACCATCATCACAACCATCATCACTACCATCATCACAACCATCATCACAACCATCATCGCTACCATCATCACAACCATCATCACTACCATCATCACCATCGTCACCATCATACCAAGTTGAAGAGTGTGATGGCTTCGTGAAAGTGCTTCTTCCGCATCTGACTCCAACGAGCAGCGAGCATGGGGCAGAGAGCATGGGGCAGAGGGCATGGGGCAGAGGGCATGGGGCAGAGGGCATGGGGCAGAGGGCATGGCGCAGAGGGCATGGCGCAGAGGGCATGGCGCAGAGGGCATGGCGCAGAGGGCATGGCGCAGAGGGCATGGCGCAGAGGGCATGGCGCAGAGGGCATGGCGCAGAGGGCATGGCGCAGAGGGCATGGCGCAGAGGGCATGGCGCAGAGGGCATGAGGCAGCGAGCAGGTGACACAGAAGAGTTGCCCAGCGAATAGATAAGCGGCCAGGTGAGGCAGAGCAGCTGCTGACTCACTCACTCACTCACTCACTCACTCACTCACTCACTCACTCACTGACTCACTGACTGACTCACTGACTCATTGACTCATTGACTCACTGACTCACTGACTCACTGACTGACTGAGTGACTGACAGGGGAGAGGAGGGACTGACGAGGGCGAGGGCGGTGTGCAGCAGGGCGTTGTTGTCCACCTCGTGTTGCACCGCCCCCTCGTCATCCACATACTCATCCACCACCGCCTCCCACACTGCCTCCCCCCCTCCCCCCCCTCTCCCTCCTTTCCCTCCTCTCCCCCCATTCCCTCCTCCCCCACTCTCACTGCTACCACCAGCATCCGCTTCTGCACCGTTGGGCTCCCCTGGTGCCTTTCCTCTCCATGCTGCGCCCTCGCCCCTCCCTCCTGCTCCACTCCTCCCAGGACCCCACCCTCCACTCTCACCTTCCCGTCCTGCTCTGCTCTCCCCATCATGCCCACCACCATCACTCGCCCCACTCTCCCCATCATGCCCACCACCATCACTCGCCCCGCTCTCATCTTCCTTCCTCCCCTTCCCTCGAATCACACTCTTTTTTCCACAATCCCCATGGCCCTCCCCCTTTCTGCATGCCCATTCCGTGCCTGGAGCAGGGCAGCGGCGGGAGCAGGAGGCGGGGGAGGGGCAGAGGGGGCGGAAGAGGGGCAGCGGGGGCGGCGAGGGGTGCAGCATCACGCACAGGTCAAGCCCGCCCAGTCGCCCCGCGTGCCGCGAGGAGGCGGCGTGGCAGCGAGGGGGGGCGCGGGGAGTGGTGGCGGAGGCAGCAGCGGGGGAGGGCGCGTGAGAGAGAGAGTAGAGCTTGGTGCCTGGCGAGGGAGGGCGGGGGGAGGAGGGGGGAGATGTGATGTGGTTCAAGCATTGAGCTTGGTGCTTGCTGTGGTGTGGAGCGCAACTGTGGCGAATGACATGCAAGCCGCCTGCTCCCCACACGCACACACCAACCCCATGCCTTCCCCACGGCTTGTGAATCCAAGCGAACATGTGTTCTGTTCGGGGAGGACATGTTCGTGTTTGCCACACCCTTCGGACAAACACAGGCGTGTTCGCCCAAAAGGTCCCGCGCGACCCATGTTTTAGGTCGACTGTTTCACTTTGTCAGCCTCATTTTTTTGTTCGATTCCTGGCTAAGACACCCACCACAGCATCGACTCTTAGCGCCAGCCCTGATCTCTCATTAAACTCCAACTTTTTGGGTTGGCGCAACATTTTTCTTCTATCCAATCCTATACTAGTTTAGGTCTGGCGCCATTTAGGTTTAGGTTTAAGTTTAGGTTTGGAAATCCACTAAACTGGTTGATGTGATTATAACGAAGGCTGCTGAAAGCGTGAGCACGAACATGTTCGCCTATAACATGTTGGTGCTCGGGGCGAACAGCCTAAGTGTTCGGCCCCAAAGGCGAACAGAGGAACACCTTTCATTTAGAAGGTGTTCAAAGCGAACCAAACATGTCCGTGTTCGCCTCTTGCTCAACCCTACTTCTCCCATAGCCGTTGCCCACACACACCCCCATGCACACTCCAACCCCATGCACACACACACCCCCATGCACACACACCCCCCCATGCACACTCCAACCCCAAGCACACACAACCACTACGTTGACGACCTAGCTCATTCTCACCGCCGCCCTGCACCATGCAGCACCACCCTGCACCTTGTATCGTAATGTGGGCAGGCAGCAGTGAGCAGGAGGGCGGGGGTCCACCCACCCACATTTGTGACCCACCTTTGCGCACGAAGGGGCGCAGGCACGTGGCAGGGGCGGGGGGTGTGCGGGGCGGAGGGGCAAGGTGCAGCGAGGCGGGGCGAGGCGGCAGCGAGGCGAGCAGGCGCAGCTCGTCGTCGCACAGCGCGGTGCTCCTGGGGGGGGAGAGGGGGAGGACGGCACGCACCGAGGGGAGAGGGGGAGGAAGGCGCGCACCGCATGGAGAGGGGGAGGAAGGCGCGCACCGCATGGAGAGGGGGAGGAAGGCGCGCACCGCATGGAGAGGGGGAGGAAGGCGCGCACCGCATGGAGAGGGGGAGGACGGCGCGCACCGCATGGAGTGGGGGAGGGGGCAGGAGGGGAGGGGGGAGGGGAGATGGGAGAACGGGGGTGCAGCAAGGGGAGGGGACGGAGGGGCAGGGGGGTTGGGGTGAAAACAATCAAGGCGGCGTGGCATGCAGGATCGCACGATGCAGGGCATTTGCGCTGAGAGGGGCGACGGGGAAGAGATAAAAGGAGGAGTTTAGGGTTTAGTAGATGGAACAATCAAGAGGGAGAGATGGGGCAGTGAAGAGGCACGAGCGAGGGGCTGAAACTGGAGGGAAGGGGATGGAAGCGAGCGGCGAGTGGAGAGGAAAGGAATGAGGGTGCAGCGATACTCGCGCTGGGAAGACAAAATGGCTGACGTCAGCGTGACGACTACCAGGTAAGTGCTTGTAAGGAGGGGATGAGGCCTTGCGTGGCGCGCGACCACTGGTCGTGGGTGCAGATCTGCCGCGAGTCCATCAGCACAAACCCCGACGCATCTGACGACGCCCAAACGCCGGCTGATCTCGTATCTGCTGACGTGGCGACATCTGATCCGCCAATGGGCAGGGAGCCACGGCCCGTGTAGTGGCGGCCGTTGAAGATGCTGCAAAGAGTGAAGTTGAGCGACAGGCATAGGAACGTCGCGCGCACTGCACGCATTCTGGCGCCCGCCGGAGGCCGCGGGTCGGCGGCAAACAGAGGGGTCGGCTCGATGGAAGCGGTGCCAGCAACGTCGGGCGTGGGCCACTTGGCAGCTCGGTTCTGGGGTTGGAAATTGGGGGAGCAACGGGAGCGTCAAAAAGGAAGGAGGACGCAGGGCGTGATCAAATTGCTCATTGGTAACACAATAGATTAGGGTGTGAAAGATCCTTATGAACAAGCAATTGGTCGCTTGTCTGGTCGAACACTTGGCTTCGTAAGTTGTTTGTGACGGTTTTCGTTAGGGCGCTTCACCTGTCGGTTCGAACAACACACTCGTTCGAACAGGCGAAACGTTACTATTTTCGCCTATGTTCGTAGTGGTTTTCGTGACGTCGCGAAGCACAATTTCGCCAATTTGAACAGAGCTGTCACCTCAAGCACGATTTTCATCATCCCGCACGTTCGAACACGTTTGTTCGAACAGGTTGGGATAGGTGACACACAATTCCGCACAAACGACTGATATGATTGGTCCACAGTCTTCCGGGTCGCCCATGAACGTTTGCGACCCGGCCAGACGTCGCCAATGTTTGGGACCCAATGCTTGGCGACGTCGCTCTTTTGTGGGCGACGTCGCTGTGTTCGAACAGACCGCGTGTGCGAATAGCGATGGCGTCACCTGTGATGGCCTGTGTCACATTCGCTCATTGTACGTATTTGTGTTCGAACTCATTTGGGATACTGTTCGTACAGTCAAACTGATACGTCGGTTCGGATTTTGGCCTTCCGCCCCTCAGGTGAAGCGCCCTTAGGTGGCACACAAAACCACTGCAAATCACAGACTCGCTTTTGGGACACGGGGGAAACTTGGTCGACCAGCAGCGAGAAACCGCGATGATACACGAATCGCAACGACTCGTCAATTCAGTCGCGGCAAATTGGGTGCGTGTATTCCAGTCACAACAACACTTGGTTGCAACTCGCATGTTTCTTCGTGTCTCGCCATTTTCTGTCGTATCAGCGCGGTTTAAAAAGTGTGGGGCGACCAAGAACTGAACTTGTGGAACTTGTGTGGTTTTGGGATGTTCATACGACGCGGCTCGGGAAAAACCCCGCCCACGCATGGGGATGCACGGGGCGCGGAGAAATCGCGGGGAGCGTGGGGCGAAGTCGGCCACCCAGGATCCCACCAGGTTTGGACCTAGCGCGGCCCTGCGTGGCTGAGTGAAACCCACCAGGCTGCCACCGAAAGCTCCGCGGCCCCCAGAAAACCGAAGGAACCCACCTCATTCTTACGCGCCGATGCATGCGCGGCTCGGCAGGAAACGAACGAGATTGGTCGGTAACATTGACGAGCGGGACATCCCGCGCATGCAACAGCGAGTTCGCGACACCACAGGAGTGCTACTATTGGTTGTTCTCTCTCGCAAGTTATCGCGAACAAAATTCGCACAAGCATAGGTTCGTTAAGCGCACAGCGAGATCCGGTTCGGTTACAGCTGGCGCGATCTGGTAGGCTCCATGCCGGCTGACACGTGCTGCAATTTGAACGAGCCACACAGCTGTGTGTTCGTTTGGTCGATGCGCGATCGCGGTAACGTGTCAAGCACGTCCACGCAGTGTCCGGTCATTACGCCGAGGACGCCCACAGTTTCCACTTTCCGATCGCCAGTTGCACACCAAGCTCTACCCCCTCACGACGCACTGGGATACACCAGAGACCAGTATCGCGCTCGCGTTGTGTGCCGCGCTCGAAAGTCCGCGAGCACATCGGTCGCGAGGTAGACGCGTCCAAGTCACACCCGGGTGGACAACTAGTGACCGCGCATCATGTTGACGCACGCGGTGAATACGAGTAGGTGCAATCTCGCACGCCGCATGCATACCGTGAATCGCGTCGCGGCGCCAATACTTCACGACTCCATCAATGCTTCGGGCAACACAACCGCGCATCAAATACATAATGCCGAACCACCTACCGCTCCCGTGCATGGGGTGAACGCGCTCAACCCCACATGGAGCACCCCATACGGGCAGCCAGTGGCTTTTGGGTCCCGGACGCCCACGTTTCACCCACAGCAACTGGTCAACGGGCTCCACCTAGCACCGCGGCCACAAATACCGTTTGCGGCAGCGGCGGTCGCGTTACAAAATCAACCGGGTAATGCGGACGCGACACCGTCCGTGCCCAGTAGCCAGCTCTTTGGGATGCCTATGCGTGGCTTCGTAGGGCCGCAGTACTCGAACGTGGGATTCAGGTACGGGTACATCGGCGTTCAACCAAACCCCACGGTGCACGCACCCGCATCTGTCGTGACGCCTCCTGTCGCGGCGTCAACACCATTCCCCAGCGCGATTCATCCGGAAAGCCAGCCAGCGGTGCAAGCCCCGCCAGACCCTAGAGAAGCATTAGGTGTCGGTTTGGACACACGAGCGCGAACAGACGGCCCATCATCGAACGCAGTTGCCGGTGGTTTAGGGCATGCGGTGAATGGTGGAGCGGGGATGAATGCAAGCGTGCGTGCACATTCGCCGCCAATATGGAACGTGAACTCACTGTTGCCCGAAAACCCCGACGTCCACATCCGCACCCCCACGCATCCGATTGTAGCGTACGCGACTGGTGTAGGTGGGCAACCACAGGCGAACGCGGGGAACGCGGGGCGTGGAGCGGGTGCAAGCGGAAACGCGGTAAGGGGAAGAGGGACGGGTGCGAGAGGGAACGCGGGAGGAGGGACAGGGGAGAGAGGGAACGCGGATAGAGGGAGAGGTGCGATACGAAGGGGTGGGAGAGCGAGCGCAGGACGTGCGACAGGTGTGGGAGCAAACAAGAATAGTGCGAACGGGCAGGGAGCGCATGGGGTGACAGGTAGCGGCGGCAGGGGTAGCGGTGTTAACGCGAACGGCGGGTCCGGTAACGGGCCAGTTAATAGACCGCGTATAAGGAGGCGGAGAGTCGATGTAGTGCCGCACACGGCACGCAATGGCTCCTGGGAAGGGAGCGAGGGGACAAGCGATGAGGATGACGAGGACGGCGCTGACGATGCGGACGATAGTTGGAATGACGATGACGAAAACTACCTATCGAACTCGCTGTCCGCGCTCAACGAGGAGGAGGCGGAAGACAACGAACGGGTGCGGGGTACGCGGAGGGACATTGAGGTCCCTATCGCTGATTGGAACAGGCTAGGTGTGGACGACACGCCGGCCGCGAAACGAGAGATGTGCTACGGAATCCTCTACGGTGTCTCGGAGGCCACGCTGAAGAAGTATCGCGGTTGGGCCAACGAGTACAAGCAGTTCGTGGCTCACGAGCTGCCTAAACTGGGCACGGGTAGGTTTGGTGATGAGGCCGCGCTGAGAAACGCGAACCCCGACGAGATTGGGGTCGCGCTCGAACAGAACATGGGTGGTGACTGGAAGATGGCGGAGGGCGACGAGCAGTGGTTCCACGGCCCTGGGACGAATCCGTGGCGCTTACGCAAATACGTGACCTTCCTCGCGAACGAGACAGTCGCGCAGGCGGACAGGATGGCCACACTCAAGCGGCCGCAGAAGACCTTGAAGAAGAGGCGCAAGTGCACCCCGGCAATGCTGATGGGGCGTCTCAAGGCTTTGAACCTGCTCATCAAGCTGGACGGGGCGATCTTCAGGAAGCCCGTTCTGAACCTGCTGCGCGACTTTGCAGAGTGTCGCATCTGGGTCCGCGTTCAAGTACGCGACCAATACAAGCGGTTTATCGCGTAAGTATACGTTCTCAGTGAACTCGTTTAATGCCTGACAATCCCGCGTCCGCTAACACCCGCACTATCGTCCCAATCCATGCGCAGGGAACACATGGATCGCCATCGGGGCACGGCCGCGGACACGTACACCCCGGACGAGTTCAAGCATATGATGCGGAAGACCAGCATGGACGCGATCTTGACCAGCTTCACACTAGCCAAGAAAGCATACACGCAGGCAATGCATCGCGACCTCTGCATCCGGACGATGACCGTGCTCGGTCATCACACTCTGGCCCGCGGATGCACGATCAGAAACCTGCAGCTGCCAGACATGATGATGTGGAAGCTAGGCGCAAAATCGGAGACCGATCCAGTGAGAAACGCGTTCATGTTTGTTTGCGCGTGCAGGACGGGCAAGACAAACAAGGACTTCTCGCTCAACTACATATCTTCTGTGAGGCACATAGATTGGACGCTGTGCGCGGTCGGAGCGACGCTGCTGTGGCTGCACTGGGTGTACGACTTGGTTCCCATCCTCTATGAGGACATAGCCCCCCCTCTCGACTTCACGGAACCCTCCACGTGGTACGATCAATACCTGTTCTTCCCCCTTCGCGCGGGCAACGAGAAGCAAATACCGCCCACGACTCTCACGACTGGGCGGCGAAAATTCTCCAGGACGCGGGAATCACATGCTCGCATGCGGTTCACGCGACCAGGGCTGGGGGGGCGCAGCACGCGTCCGCGGACGGAATGCCTTCGGATCAGCTGGCGAGGCTGGGGGGTTGGCGCTTCATCGACGTGATGACTAAGCACTACCTCACAACCATTCCAAGGGAGGCCGTGCTGCTGATGGCGGGCTTCACCGGGGTTGACGGTGACTACTTCCTGGGTCGCGCAACTGTTCCGGTCAACGATAAGCTGGATGAGCTACTGAGGAAGCACATTTTCCCATGGGCCGCCACGGACAAAGGACAGCAACAGGTATGTGTGGTCCGCGCATACGCGACCGCAAGCATCGCACATACCACCCTGGCACAGCGTTCACTGCCTTGTTGTTTTATTGTCACAGTGCAAGGATTACAACCGCAGGATGGTGGAAACGCAGAAGCCAGAGAAGCAGGACACCGCGGGGCTAAACATACTGAAGGAGCTGGATGGGGACACTAGGATGGCGGTCGCGCAAGACCTGGCGATGTATTACATCCACCAGCCGCGACACCCGTACGTGGTCAACAACCCGCTCTGCCAGACGGAGGAATTTGCGTCGTGGGCTGCAGATGTCTCATTGGCAAATCAACTCGCCATAGTACAACGCAACACACCTACACTGACCCAGCCCGCAGTAAGTACTGAATGGTCGCGTTATCTTTCTTCCGTGATGTCAATGCCAAACCATAACAAGTTCGCGGTCGCTTTCTGTCCATGCAGGAGGTGAGTACCAGAATGGACGCGCAGAACCAAGTGACCGTCCTCACTGAGTACCTGACTCGTTCACAAGCGGACAACACAAGACTGGGCCTGGAGTTGGTCGCGACTCATAAACGGGTGAAAGAGCTGGAGGGGCTGCTGGAGGATCGCGATCGGAAACTGGCCGAGAAGGACGAGCGCGTGAATGATTTGGAAGCCCAGCTGTCGCGGCTCACCGTGAGCAGCTCAGGGCCGACCGCGGTTCCGAACCAGGCAACCACTCCTGGAGCCGCGGCCGCGTCGACCAATGCCTCAGGTCCCACCGAGCAGGAAACGCGGAAGAAACCCGCAGCGCCCACCAGGGAACAGACGATTCGGGACGCGATCGTCCTTCCATGGGTCAACGCCACCAAACCGTCAGACGGATGGAAGCTGTACAAGACAACGCACCCGCTGATCCTCGAGAGTCCAGAGTCGCTTCTGGCCCAACCCCGCGGCGCAGTTTCGCGAATGGCCGCGCTCATTGGGGAGGAGGGAGGCGGCCAGAACGCGATAAACCGTGTTAAGCGAATCATGAACTTCATCGCCCACAGGGTGGAGCAAGGAGACGACATCGCGGTAGTGCTCGACAAGCTCGACCTCATGTCAGGTGCTGTGGGCATGTCGGGTGTATCGGAAGGGATCGCGGTAAAGAAGAAGAGTGTTGACATGGAACTGAGCCAGCTCAAGAAGGGCTCTCCAGTGGAGGTGCAGTTGCGTGTGAAATGGATGCTTGTTCGCGACCGTCTCATCAATGCCTCTCTTCCCGCTTCTGAGTTCACGGTCGCGTGGCCCCAGTACTGTGCGCTCATGCCAGACTTGCAGTAAATGGATTGACCCCGCTGTTGTTCGTCTTGATATCACCGTCTTCGGGTGCGATGTTATGGGTCCCTATAATCGACCGCGAGTGTTGTTTACGCGAAGATTATGCTGATTTACATCGCGGCCGTGTTGATCGCGGGCTGTTGTTGTTTCGCTTTCAGATAGTGCTGATTTACATCGCGGCCGTGCTAATCGCGGGCTGCTGTTGCCTAATGTACATAGATTGTTCGCGTCGTAGTGTATACAATGATAATGTGTGGGAATACCTGAGACGAATGCAGATTACTGCTAAAATGGCACGCGCAAAAACACGCACCCACTGAATCCTACAAACCTTCACGTATTGTTCCAAATGTCAACACTAGGTTCTCAAGCGCACACGCACACACACACACACACACACACCCACACACACACACACACACGATTTACTACAGGCACTAGCACAATCCACCGCGAGTAGAACTCAAGCATGGCGGACAGGCTGTGCACATGCTACGCGATACTACACGCACTCAAGTGCGCTTCTTCAGACGATCCTTTGGCAGGGCAAGGTACAAACCTAAGGACTCCATCTGCTTCCCTGCCACCGAGCAGTCGCACCAGGTGATGATAACGTCCACCGTTTCGCGGGCGGCCAACTCGATGTGCCTGAGATTGCGAGACTTTGCAATGACCTCGTTCACGACTCCGGACACGATCGCGGCGGCGACCGCCTTCGGGTCCGCGACAACCTGTGGCTCATCTTCCTCGCGGCTATTGCGCTTCCGCACCGCATTGATGACGTACGCGGATACTACGGGGAAGAGACGGCTTTGCTCTCCATAGCAACCAGCTGCACGCGCGGCCAGGTTTCCATTATCCGCCGCGGCAGTGACGTTAGAACCGCGAGTGACCTCCCACACCATTGCAATGGCGCATGCGATCGCTCCCGCGTAGTCCGTCGGCTCCACGTCGCCGAGATCCGCTTCTTCTGCTGCAGCCTCCTTGCCTACCACCGCGGCCCATGCAATCACGTTGGTGGTGTGCATTCCGGGCTTGGTAAGCCCGCGATAGGAATCGAACATGCGGTGCCACCTGCCACGCAGTGGGTTGGAGCGGCCAGAACATGATAACATACCAAACCGACTGACTACGCGCGAGCAATCCATGTGATATCGTATGAACGCACTAGATGATGGTGGATTGGCACAGCTCACCTGTCCTTGCTTGCCACGAGGTTGCGGTAGTGCATGGTGATTAAGAGGCCCGTATGTAACCCCTCGGCGATGGACAGGTCCGCGGCCCATTCTCGGATCTGCTTCTGGCTCAGGTTCAGCCCGGGGTCGACCTTCCCGTCGTAGGGATACATCGCGATCGCGGTCTTGTACTGCAGGTCTTCGCGGTCGCCGTGTCCGAGCCATCGCTTCTTCCCCCCCAGATGGGGTTCAGAAACCAATCCGGGCCCGCCCCTGGGTGGAGCGCGGATGCCGCAGCCCTTGCGCTTGGGGGCGGTGTCACAATGTCCTCCCGTTGTGCCACCTTCCACGATCACGGTGTCTCCGTCTTGCTCGTCCGCGCTCTCTCCGCCGCTATAAATATTGACCGCGGCCTCCCCACCCTTCTCTCCTCCGTCGGCCGCCTCGACCCACCTGCTCACGAGACCCTCCAGGTCCTCATCCGCATCGTCCTCGTCGATCGTGTACACGGGTGGAGTGGGCAACTTCTTGCCACCCCGTCCGCGTTTCTCCGCCTTGCCCTCGACCGAGGCCGCGATAGGACCTGCAGATGCCAGTGCGCTGTGCAGATGTCCCGCGGCGATTGCAGCACGAGCGGGTGCGAGCGTGGTCTGCCTGCCCTCTGCCGCAGCACCCGCTGCGGACTGGACCTCACGCCTCGAGGCCAGCGAACCCGCAGCAGCCGGCGCCTCTCCATCCTCCGCCTTACCCTTGCCCCGACCCACAGTACTTGTCACTGTCGCGGTTGCCCCGGCAGGGCCCGGTGGTTTAGGTGCAGCTTCTCCATGTGGGATGGAGCGCGAGCTCGAACCCGGTTGACCAGGCGGTGCTGGACCTCGCGATGCAGCGCCCCACTTCTGCTTCAGCATGTCCTGCACGCTCGGATTGCGCACCGCGGCCGAGGCCTGGGGACCTCTCTGCCTCTTCGCCCCCCGTTGATTCTCCGCCTTCGCACCCGCTGCCCGCTTTCCATGCTCTGCATCCCCGAGCTCGGCAATCTCCGTCGCGGCCGCTCCTTCATTATCCGTGCGCGGCGGGGGGGCTCCTCCAACGAGCGCGATTAGGGTGTGCAGCGCGTTCGTGACCCCGCTGGTGGTGATTGCCCGCTCTGCTGTCGCGGCGACCGCGATCGACATGTTGTCGATCTTCCGCGCAACCTCGTCCGTCAGCTTCTTCTGAGCGGCTTCCATGGAGTCTGTCACCACCCCCTGCAGCTGTCCCAGCCTCGCGTCCACTCGCCCCAGCACCAACGCCTCCTGGTTACGCGTATCGACCAGTGCCGCTCTTTCCTGCGCGATCGCCCTCGCCTCCTTCTCCAACACCCGAACCGCATTAGCAAGCGCGGTTGAAGCTCGTGAGAGCCCACGACCGCGACCCCACCAACCCCCGACTCCTGGCGTTTCTTCAGCCGTGAGTTCTCTTCGGCCAGCGCTGCAAGCCTGCATTCGAGCTGCAGGATCTCGGCAGCAAGCTTATGCGATGGCAACGAGGACAGGGACGCGTGATCACGCGGACCTGTCACGGGACTCTTGCCCGCGACCTCACCACTCGGGCCCGCGCTTCCAGCACCGGGGGCCAAGTGCTGCGCGAGGTGCTTGATGCTCTTGCCGGATGTAGTGGGCCTGCTGGATGCCGCGGCCGCTACCACATGTGCCTCCGCCTCCTCCTCGCTCGACTCCTCCCCCTCACGCGCAACAGCGAGGTCAGCCTCATCGCGGGTTGTACCCTTCGTCGCGGTATCCTCGGCCCCTTCGTCATCAGCGTGGACCACCGTCCCCCCCCGAGCACCTCCGCGGTTCGAAACACCAGCGGCACCTGTGAGAGCGAGAACACCATGGTCAGCAACCTGCGCACCCGTAGCCACTTTCTGCACCTTCCCCGTTTCAGCCCCTTCAGCCTCACCGCCGTGCATGGGTCGCGTCATATCCACGCTCAAGTTGAACGCGAGCTCTTCGGCGGTTTGGTACGCCTCATGCCGCAGTGCATTCAGAGTCTTCGCGGTTGGCCTCGAGAATTGCGGCCCGTATTCACTGGCAGCGACCGCGTCCAACTGGGCAATGATCTTGTCGAACGCGAACAGACAAGCGATGTTGCCGCAGGAGCCGCGGAATGACGTCGCGTCCTGGAAAACATTACATGGGGTTTGTTAGCACCACTGCAACTATTCGCGGTCATCGAGAACACGTACACAACACAGACGTACCAGATCCAACAGACGCTCGGGATCCTTAAGCTGGCGGGAGCGGGTGCACTGAATGGAGCCGCGCGCAAAATCCTCGTCGACGCGACCCTGAAACCACCAGCCCAAAAGCACATACATATCCACGCGAGCGCACGGTTAGCGACATGAGCACCGGAGCGGAAATGAACGTGGTACTGATGATAAACCAGTACGCGGTACTCACTCCACAATCGCATCAGCCGCGGTGACGTGTTCCGCACCACCAGTGGGAATAGCAACGCGAACGAACCGCGTGTTCCACTCGTCACCGTCAAGCGACAAGTGGTCGGGGTGTAGCAGAATGAGCTGTCAGAACATTATAGCTTACTTATTTGTGTAGGCTATAGTGGGGTATCCCATAGGGGGTACAACCCAATTAGGGTTTCCTATTTGTACTCACTTCGTTCATAGTCATTTCATTCTCGTTCTTTCTTTTCACATGGAATCAGAGCAGGTTCCCTCCTAGGGACTGCTTCTAGGGCCCACCAAAGCGCGCCCCGAGGCGCGTTTTCCTTTTTTTTAGCGACCCGTTGTGTCGCCCCCAGCGGCCCGTCGCGCCGCCCTTCCCTTAGCGGCCCCGCCGCCCTTTGATCGCGGCTCCGCCGCCCTTCCTTAGCGGCCCCGCCGCCCTTCGATCGCGGCCCCGCCGCCCTTCGATCGCGGCTCTGCCGCCCTTCCTTAGCGGCCCCGGCGCCCTCTGCTAAGCGGCCCCGCCGCCCTCTGCTAAGGGGCCCCGCCGCCTTGCTCACACGGCCCCGCCGCCCTCTGCCACGCGGCCCCGCCGCCCTCTGCTAAGCGGCCCCGCCGCCCTCTGCTAAGCGGCCCCGCCGCCTTGCTCACGCGGCCCCGCCGCCCTCTGCTACGCGGCCTCGCCGCCGCGTCGCCCGTGCACCTGCCCGTGCACCCGCCCGTGCACCTACCCGTGCGGCCGCCCGTGCAGCCGCCCGTGAGCAGCCTGCGAGCCGCCCCAGCCGCCCGTGCAGCCGCCCGTGCATCGCCCGTGAGCCGCCCCAACCGCCCGTGCAGCCGCCCGCGAGCCGTCCCAGCCGCCCGTGCGGCCGCCCGTGAGTCGCCCGCGAGACGCCCGCGCCGCCCGAGCCGCCCGAGCCGCCCGCGAGACGCCCGCGCCGCCCGAGCCGCCCGAGCCGCCCGCGAGACGCCCGCGCCGCCCGAGCCGCCCAAGCCGCCCGAGCCGCCCGAGCCACCCGAGCCGCCCGAGCCGCCCGAGCCGCCCGAGCCGCCCGAGGAACCGATCTTCTGCTCCTGTAGGGCTCCTACTGCTCCTAGGCCGGCGCAGCTGCTGTGCTGCCGTGTTGCTGTGTCGCTGTGCTACCCGACTCTTCCTGCTCGGTGAGACTGTCAGCTGCTACAATGGCCACCCCCAGTGTCCTGACTTTTGACGCTGAGGGTCGCGCCATTGACTTTGCAGTCTGGATTGAGGACCTGCAGCTGTACTTACTGTGCGATGCGATCGATGAGGTTTCTCTCTTTGACTTTGTCTCTGGCGCTTTCCCTGCCCCTCCTGCTGATGCTAACCCCACTGTTCGCTCCAAGTGGGCCACACGCGA